ACTTTGTTTCTTTATTCGTGTGAGGACAGTTGCTGGCAAACTGGGACGCCCAACGAAAGGTCGCCAAGGCGAGGCGTTTATTTGGGATATGTACTTTCGTCTCTGATGCTCATCCCTGGCCGGCGATAATCGTGTTCGATCGACGGATCGCTGGACTCTCGGACGCCGCCCGTCCCAGTACCTGTCCGCTATCGCACGTTTTGAGGAGTGCCTTGAAATAAGATGCCGCTATTAAACAATTATGCTCGTGGATAACCCATCCCAAAAGCTCATCTAATCGGAAAGTTCAGAAACATTGTGAAGCTACAGAAGATTATCCCAAAAAACACAAGAAATTCAGAATAACATCAGTTTTTTTCACAGCAGTTTATGAATAACAAGTCTGTCGGTTAGCTTCAATTCCTTCTTTCGATGTTTCTATGATAAGATGTCCATCGAATGAAGAAATATAGGTCGTAATGCATGAAAATAGGGTAGCATGAAACTTCATTTTTCTTAATTGCTAAGCACATAATCATGTTCTGGTGAACGCTGCCCCTGACTACTGCAGTTCTTAGAGGAATTATAAAAAGTGTGAACCTTTTCAGATTGTTTGGGCCGAAGGTTGTCCGGGAACTGTTTATGCTATCGATTCGACCGCCTTAGTGTGCTTACGAACACTCCACGATGGAGGTACATAATGATTACTATATAAAAATGAGCTCCAAACTTGGGTCTGCATGCAAAAACAGCGCTGAAGTACATCCTTAGTAATGTGACTAGTACGAGAGCTGCGGAGGCCGTAAAGGCAGTGATTGCGATTGTTGAAGGACTGTGCGTTTTGATGACGTCACTGAACCTAATTGGTGGAGCAGACCTATTAGCGCGCTGGGGCCTGGTTGGAAACGCCTCTAAAGGTCTTTCCACCAATGACGTTCAACGACGTCACCAAAATGCTCCGCCCTTCAGCTATCGTGATTCCTGCCTTGAAGGGATATGTGAGGATGCACGAGAATTACTATAATACTAACTTAACTTACAAGGACATGACGATCTTCCCAATGGTAATTGTGTCACATAGCGCACAATTATTGCTGAAAATACACACCCTTGTTCGCATACCAACGCGGAAAAAACACTCGCCAAAACAGTTGTTTCCACTGCCTTACGTTGGCGCTATCAAGGTCATCCACTACAACTTTGCGCGGTTCATTGAATACTTTGCACGTTTTGGATGGTGTTCGTTGCTTCAAAATTACGTTTTTTACACGATCTACAAAATAAGATAAGGCGGCACAACCCCATCGCCTTCATTGCTCCCTCTTTTCCTTCCCTAACCGTTTCATAAATTCTTTTTTTTCTTAATTATTTTATCGATCACTCCTTACATTACTATTCGCCACACTTGTTAAGATGCAATATCTGATAATAAGTTATAATTGTAACTTTTAAACTCCTTCAAGTTCGTGTTAGAACTCGTCATTTGCTGTATAGATCTTTGTCTTCCAGGAAAGAATAAGTAAATAATTTCCGCCTGCGCACCCATTTCTTTATCTCGTTTGAGTCCAGTCGCTTTCTGAAAAGAAAAATACTCAGAAAAATATTTTTTAGAGAAACGAGTTCCCATACGATAACTGTGAAATATCCGTTATTGATTTCGTTTTGTTGCCTAATTTGTGAAGTTGCTGCGATACCAAGAGAAATGGTCGTGTGGTTGTGTTTTCGTACGAATTATTTCACTAAAATAAAATCGTACACGAACGTTAGATTGAACGGTTATTGATCCACTTCAAGATTTAGTTTTTAGTGGACCAAGGTCTACTATTGTGGAATGTTACATGACTTTCACCTACTTTTGCGATCGATTACGCATTATTTTCTGCCAAATATATACCAAAGCTTTACCAGGAAGAAAGTTTTCTTCCGCGACGAATCCGAGTGTATTTATTTGTCTATGTACGTGGATGTGGCACGATGACAGGGGGAGAGGGAGGGCCACCCTCCACGCTCTTTTGTATATAATTGCTTCGTCTCTCCGCTGCCCCATATCACTGCGCAATGTGATTTGACCCCTGTCAACTGTCTGTGCTCTTTCTCCATCGCCACCCTACTACTCCGCGCATGTCCTCCTCGGCATCAACCTTCCTCACTTCCACGGGGACCTATCCGCGCAACATTCGTTAATTGGAAGGAAGGAAGATTGTCGAGATAGCATTTCCTATCACCACTCTTACTGGCATAATACCAGCCTTTTTCCGATAGAATTGTTTTGTTCTGTTATTGTGCGTCTAACAAATGATTATTGACGATGTGATTTCGGAATCGGTGAGAAGAAAGAGCAGGTTATAAATGATTATTTTCTGAATTCCCATGGCGCTGATTTCTGAAGTCTTTCTGCATCATGTTCTGATCCCTCTTCCAATTTTGTTATATTTATTGCTATCAGACATTTTGAATCATTACTTTCTACGAAAATTAGCCATTTTTGCATTTTCGCTATCATTTCTTGGCTTCCTAAACATTGCTGTGTGAAACATGAGGGAACTGTGTTATTGAGCGATTTGACCCCGTTTGTGAGTTGGAACTAGTGCGGCGATCTTCTACTCAGCTACATATAAATATTATGAAAAGGAATAGAGATTTTCTTTACAGTAATACACTTCACGCATGGTAATAATTACTTGATTCTGTGTTCGCTGTCCTTTCGATCTGTGCGAACGAATAGCGAGTCCGATGCTTGGCCAAGGACCGATGATCCTTATACTGTTCGCTGGTGTGTTTGTACTCACCTATCTGTTGTCATTCAACTTACGAAGTCTAATCGCTATCGATATTCGTAGTGTTGCGTTTAACACTATGTGAATCGAATAATGGTACTGTGGTTCAATTTCCTAACCTTCAAAATGGTCGAGCAGTGTGGACAGTAGCGGAGTCGGACTTACCTTGGATGGGCGCGTATGATTATTTGAGGTCAGTTGTTTTCTGGCCTAAACGCACCGTCGCGATCGAGTCGTTACGTTTAGAGTTTTACGTCGAATCGGCGGCTTCATTATCGCATGAAATACGGTTATTAAGTATTTGACGATGTATATAAGATTCTTAAAATAACAAGATGGATCATTTGGCGATGGCGGATCCTTTTTTAGATGCGCCGCGAATTCCGTTTCTATCTAGAGTTGCGGCCATGTTTTGATGCGGTCTAGGCAATACAAGACTTGCAGTGGCCAGCAAAGTGTGTTGGTACAATTTGCTTTTGTCCCCGAGTATGATACTTATCAGCGCTCAGGAGGGTGTGAAGGGTTGCTTGGCCAGTCGGCGAAACTTGGCTCATAGGGGTAGATCGGTGTCCTGACAACGAATATGACCTTCATTGTTGGCGATAGTGCCATTTCACACAATTCAAATTCCGTGGTACACTTATTTTAGGCAAACTCGCTATAAGCTGGCACTAGATTCGTTCGGTTTTCGAACGGTTTTCGTCGAGGATTTCTGCAAAATTAACGAGGAAACTTTGTGATGAGTGCGAGTTTTCACACTTTACAAAGCCATTACTCTCTTCAGACTCGTCCAATCAGAAAGTCCGAAAAGTTGGTGTCTCACCATCAACTGGAAGATTTGCTCTATTCAACGGTTGCTAGAACTGCTCAATACGTTAAGTATTTCAAAAATGGTCAATTCGAGAATTTCTGCCCGAGTACCACCGAAAGGTACTCTTTCGCGGCAGTGACTTTCTTTCAACGACTATAGATCCAATCAGTGGCGAATATGTTTAAAAATGGGAGCAGACTCGGAATTTATGTGCTCTTCTCTCTCCAAGGACTGCTCAATGAATCTCAACTTCAAGGATCACATGTTCGTGAATTTAACTCTGCAGAACGCATTTCTTATTGAATAGTGGACTCATCTCTCTAATTTCACACCTTTGAGAATCCTTTGGTTTTTGCCTAAAAGGAGTTCACGTAAGAGGGTTGTTTGCACGCCAATAACTAGACCCACTCTGTGACGCGCCGTGTCCTTCACATCCCTTCATTTTGGTGGATTCATTTGAAAGGTCAAATGATCGTAGAAACTCATGCGAATTTCGGATTCTCTTATCTCGTCACTCATAATTCACTAAGGTATCTCAGAATAACTAATTAGACCTTTTTGAACCACAGAAATTTTAAGTGAGCGGAATAACATTTTTTTTTGGAATTTTTATGGTCAAGTTTATGAGCATTATAGGCACCTTTCATTGCACCTATTTTTATTTTTGCACCTTCTTGCTCGAAGCTCGACATGTTCTGTTTTTTTACCATTCTGCGCACAGGAGTACCTGTTATCAAAACCAAATAGAAATACAAACCCAAGCAAAAGTCAGGTGGACGATTTCCTTCGATCTACATATCAGATAAACCCTCAGCGGACAATCACAAAAATGGCACTCTCCTGCGTGGACGTCGTCAGAGCGCCAAGCCATTGCAAAGACTGGTTCAACGGCTTCAATTTTCCCCTGTCCGCAGAAGGCTGGAGTCTGGCGCACCATCAGTTGTGCTCCCTCGCTTGTCCCTCTTCCGTGCTCAGTGCTCAGTCTATCATAGCCTTAGCGCGGCCGAATTAAATAGCTAATCAAACTCACAATTTTAGCGTTTCCGGTGAATTCTTTCCCTTTTTTCTTTGACTATGGCCTACTTTGACCACTTCCACCTTCGTATGTAAGAACAACACCAGTTTGATCCCATGATCCCTTATTGCTGCACCGAAATTTTTGGTGCAAGTTGATGTAAAATTTAATTTTTAAGGCCAGTGTAGAACAAATGAGTGTCATATTCGTTGTCAGAACAGTGGAGCCTACTACTGCTCAAAAGGTGTAGCCAATGACTCGTTTTTAAATAAAGATTTCTAAAAAAAACTCCCTTACATTTGGAGTTCAAAGAGTGATGCGCTGTTCTTAGCCTGCTATACCCTAGAGCAAGAGATGATTTTTCGGGTTTCCCATCGGTCGAGTTTCTGGTCAACATCGACTGAGTGCTGGTTTTGGGATGTCCCAACAAGAGGCGTTAGAGAGCTTCATGGTGCATTCCGCGCATAGATCATTGTTCTAGCCTCACCAGTAAGGAGGCAGGGATCGGAGCCGCAGAGATAACGCCACTTTCGCGGTCCCAACAAAAAGCCGTTCGAGAGCTTCAAGGGCACCGGGGGCTAAGGACTTGTCACCCTGGGCATTTGAAACAACCGCGCACGTCCATGGCTGCAATATCTGCTGTCTCTCTCCTCGCTATGCCCACTCACCTCCGTATGCCGTTCTCTTGGTTCCGCGTCTATTGTTTCTTGAACTGTTTCGCTCCCACATCCTTCAATCGCTCGGAGAAAGAATGGATTATTGGCCGTTTTCAACACTTTCTTTACAATTTTTATTGTCTGCAAGCCTTACAGTATGTACAGTTTCTTTTCTGAACCCCGTACTCGGGGCAGTGCACATTTTTACATATAATTTCGTCCTGGGACCGAGGTAGCGATTCTTCCAGAGTAAGTACTTAGAAAGCAAGCCCTTAAATCTTGTGATGCTGAACTCCTTGAAAATTTGAGTCAGCCAGAATTGATTTTGCGTGCTGGGCATACGTGAGAAAATCATCACATCAAGATTTCAGATTGAACGCGACCGCTGAAATTGTTCTTTTGACAGTATTCGATAGCTCTACTGGCAAAAAACTAGCTGAGTGCTCAGATGTGACAGGAGCAGGTATGTTTACAACAAATTTGATAAACTTTTCCGCAATAGAAAATGTTAAATCATATGGCATCAGATGGGCTTCGAACACGGCGTGCATCACACGTTGTTTCGGCGATATTAATCAAAGCAATGGCAATTGTAAATTTTACTCCACCCAGTTGTTTTCATATCGTCTTCGCGTCAGGGGGTGGGGGAGAGAAAAGCTCACCGGCGGCGCGGACGCTGCGCGTGCGTAACGCCAAAATGACATCGCAGGCTCGACGTAGAGGCAAGCAACGGCCACTGTCGCTGCCATTTCGCTCACATAGCGTTAGGTTTCTAGTAGCGTACCAACTTTTCCTATCGGTTGTGCCGCAAGAGGAATGATTGCTTCATGCACAGGTGATATCCCCGCACTAGGAATTGAAATTTTTCGAGAATGTTGAGGAAGTCGAGGTTTTCGCATGCAACCCTTAGGAGTGGAAGGTGATTGATTCCGCTCTTCTAGTTGGATTCCGCCGCCACTGCGACGCCATCAACACGCGAACGCGTTTGCGCCGCCGGCGCGGTTTTCCATGGAGCCGAAAATCTTCTGCCCTGTCGGAGCGTTCTTAGCTTTCGATGATAGGTTCTTTTATCTGGTAACATTAACACATTCACGGCGTCGCTCTTTTTCACTTTTCGGGCACGTGGAACACACGCGATTTCGGTAGCACGCCGCCTCACCTCACGGAGCGGGACTTTTGGCTCGTCCGGGCTGGCACACGGTGAACTGTGCGACAGCATGCGCGGCGATCCGGATGAGAGAGGGGTTCGCGTGTTCTGCAATAGAAATCAACTTGTCAATGTCAAAGCGTGTGAAGATTGCTGATAACTCTAATTCTGAAGTTCGAAAAACTTTCCGCACGCCGAGATTTGAATGCAGCGAGGTCGGTTAGGAGATTTCAGCGCAAGGAGATGAAATGAGGAAAGAACCTTCACAAAGATGTCACCACTCTCATCAAAGCGAATAAGGAAACCTACAATTAGGAGTTTTTGCGAAGATATAGTTAATTAGTGTCAACTATATATGCTGCTGATCTCGGCGCTTATGTCCTTACTGGGACCATTTCAAACAGGGCCGATGGTAGGTGACACTGGGATTAAGCCCAGGAGAGGGAAGAAAGCCAGGGCGAACACAAATTGCTGACATTTCGTAACAGAATGCCTTCCAATCCCTAAGGCTTAATACCAAGCACAGTAATTCGCTCACTCACTTGAATGTCCTATTGTCCTTACTATCATTACTTTTTTTATATCTCCACGCGTTTCGAACCCATCCCAATTCGGATACAATTTCAAGTTCAAATCGCAGAACCTTGCGAATTTTATCTGCCACCTGCACTTTGTCGAGATGAATTCCACTGCGAAAGCCCGCGAAGACTTGCCGTGGTTCTTGCCACCACCTTGCATTTCATCCATGCAGCAATGATCCGTGCCTTTAGTGTGTGATCCACGCTAACGCCAGCGGCCACATCATTCCCGAAATTTCAGAACCTCCAGTTTCAGTGCTTTCCCATTAGCCGTTCACAATTGCCTTTGTACCCTCTCCAGAGCTCAGAAAGTTGGTCTCGTTGATGTTCAGCCGGATTTTCGGCCAGCAGTTCCTGTCGACTAATCCTTGCTCCATGTCCTTCTCTGCAATCCGGATCTCATCGGCGTAGAGGGTAGTCTTCAATGGCCGTTTCATTACTTCTTTTTCAAAATGTTATGTTTAGTAATTGAAAGATTTCGCTTCGTTCAGCACGAAAAGGAGTCCGCTCAGATCTTACCCTCGATTTACATCCTCTATGATATTCACTCCCCTTTGTAAGGCCGTGCGAGGTGCGAGTAGCTCAGCCCAGAGACCAGAGGACCAGTACACTACGTTCTCTGATTGTGAGGGCTTCCGAGAGTACTCTTTGTGGAAGATGGTCGGACGCCTTCTGCAAGTCAAGAAAGGCAGAGAACAAGGAAGGTCAGCGTTCCCTCCAGTGCTTCTCTGTAATTGCCCAACGGTGAAGATGGCATCTGTTATGGACCTTTTAAGCATAAACTCGTTCTGGTGCTAGAAGATCGACACGTTCCCTCAGCTTCGAGTTGACTAAGCGCTTGTACTGTCTCATGGTGGGCCCGCCGTAGTTGGGGCACCCATCGCATTCCCTCTATTTGAAAGTAGTGACGAAAGTACTTGCTTACCAGGCATCCGGCATATTCGTTCTACAGCTGTTGACCTCATCCCTGGTTCACAGTGCGCTGCGTGCAGCGGTCGCTCCTACTTGTTGGCTGTCCTTATGCGAGAACCCTGAGGTCTGATGTAACTCGGGCTGTGCTTCAGCGTGTCTAAAGGCAATCTTTTCCGCGTTTCTGCTCTCCATCTTATCGTAATTTCACTTTCAATTTGCGCTACAGAGCTGACAGCGCGCTATGGACACCGGCGTCTTAAGCGTTCTAGCTCTCAAGTTGGAGGGAATCTTAGTGATCTCAAATTCATCAGGTTATTAAGTTGCGGTTAGGCAGCGATGAAAGAGCTAATAAATGGCTAATAAAGAAATGGCTAATAGCTGCCTAATGAACACTACCCCCCCCCCCAAAAAAACGAAAAACGTCTGTGTGGAACTGATCCACTGACGTTGACCCTAAAATCCTCTTCTCTGACCATTGGCTTACCAGGGCACATTCATTATTAAATCTGACCTTGCTTAAGAATTTCACCGCCGAGAGTGCCTCGAGTGCGTCACGTGTTAGGAGGAACTTTCTTTGTTCCTGTATCGACTGGCAGATTGTAGAGCCAATTTTAGTACAGCGCACAAAGTCTACCCTATGGCATAAGTCAAAATGCACAACCCAGGCAGAAGTCGTCGAACCATTTCCTTCAGTCTGTGGGATAGCATCTTAAAGTACAGTCGCAGATTTGGTACTTCCGTGAAGGAAAATTGCCCGTCAATGGCACCAGGGTCTTGCAAAGTCACCTGTAGCAGCTCGAATCCCACAGCAGGCTGTTGTCTGGCACCCACTAATATGTAGCACTCCTCTCCTCCCGCGCTCAGTCTCGTATTGCTTTAGCACAGCCTTATTAGGAAGGGCAAAAAGCTCTCAATTTAAGCATTTTGCACAATTCTTTTCCTTTTTTCTTTACTGCCGACCCAATCTCATCACTACTTTCATATTCGTGAGCCTGAACCATGCCAATCTGATCTTGGGGCGTGCCTTCCAATTCCGCCGCAGCCATCTGGGATCATTCCTCAGTAAAATGTCAAGCTTCTGATGACAACAAATGAATGTACATTTTAGAGGCGCATTGGAGCAGTTTTCAATGGACGTTGAAGTCAGACGTATTGTTATGTACAGTATCTCCAAAGAATTTTTCTCGTACAGTGTTCCCACCGTCCACCAATCCAAGAACATTTTTCGCTCGAATAGAAGCAGGTGAGTGCAATGAATCTTGTCGCTAAAGCATCTAAGCATCTAAATTCAAACCGGAGCACTCAACTGCTTGTTGAAGGCCACACCCCAGTCTATCAAAAAACTTCATAATAGCTTTCTACACGGGAGGGATTATAAAATTTCCCTACAGGAACATAGTGCACGATTCGAACTCAACGAGGTCCCGACTAATCGTGTACCATTACGACAAAATCTGAAGTGGTGATCAGAAGGGGTCTGCATCGTAGGAGTTAGTGTATTCAGAGAGGTATATTCTAGTTACCCGAATAAAGAATTCATGTAGGAGCTTAAGGTTGAGCGATTACGGTAGGGCTCCTTGAGCTCGACTGTGATGACGGATGATTTCGTATTCTGGGGATGGTGAGGGCAGTGAAGAAGGGCCTGCTTCTGACTTGGTCCCTTTTATAGAGGGACATTCAAGGATTATTTCGCCGTGAGCCTCCTATCATCGGTAGCAACCTGCGCGACGAAAAGCTTGGCGATGTACGCCATGATCGGAGTGACTCACACTTTTTGACATCACCAATTTTGCCCCCACCACCCTCCCCGTGTACTGATGAAAAGTCAATTTTCATGAGAAAATGCGAGGCAATATTTCACCTGAAAAAAGGAGTGGACATAAAAGAAAAAAACGCAGGGGGACATCGCGACCAATCGCGACTCGTCGCAGAGTGTTGGTTCTCTGCAGCTTAAGAATGGTATCCTATTTGTGGTAATAAATGTGCATGGCCCCTAATATTCTGACCACAACCTACGGTGTAAGACTCGAAGATTACCCTCTAAAATCGCAGCGACTTGAGCTGCCTAATTAAGCTTCATTAGAGATTACCCTGCTCAAAGTTTTCAAAAACTCATCGTCATCATCGTCAAATGGGACCACTTCGCTTTCTCCTCGGCACACGGGGGGGGGGGGGAATCAGTTATCGAAAACATCTACGAGAACACCGGCAGCTTTTTGAACATCTTCGATAGTGCTACGAAGGTAGAGAGTTCAAAATTCACCAAGGGACCTCTGTTTTTGTAAACTACCGGGATATGGATACATGCAGTCGCACGTGCTGCAGGCAGTCACCACTCATGTTCGAGCTATGCAGAGAGGTGATCAAGGAAGATCCTAGGAAGAGTTGTAGTGTTAGCTGAAGCACCAGAGGGTGGGAGGAGCATCCGCACGTCCGCCGAAGCTTTGCTAGTCGCAAGACTAGCTGACCTGCTCCAACGTCCGAAAGGAAAACTTACTGCATTTCGAAGGGCAGTAGAGGAAGTCGTCCAAAACCTCTAGCCACATCTCTTCGATAGCCAAGCCTCCTGCTCACTTATTGTCCGGAACAGGACGGATGCTTCATCCCCTCTGTTTTCCCTTCCAATGTCCGACCTCCCTGTGCCGGTGAGGGACACTGTACACCAACACCCCCCCCCCCTCCCATGGCCCATACAGGGTCGAACCAGATCATTCGAAGGGTTTACTGCCGACGTCATCAAAATTCTGCCTAAGCGTGCAAGCCAACCGCTCTGAGGAAACCCAGGACTGTGAAGCTGCATATGAAGGGAGAGTGGGACTCGGCAAACATCGGCCGATATTCCTGACTGTTGACTGTAATCTAGAACTTTTTGCTCGAGTTATCCTCAAACAGAATGGCCTTGTAGAAGGTCGTGATATATAAAGGTGAAAAGATGGCTGTAGTCAGAAAAAAGTTGAAAGCTAAAAACTTGTACAAGCCTTTATGTAGCACACTATCGAATTCTGCGAGATGCACCACAGTAAACAGACATTAAGCAATTGATGAGGGTTTGCAACTCACTGATCCAGGACCTGCTTCCTGCAATCATGTTTGAGAAAGTATGTGCGTCATCCTAACACGTTCTTTGCGCCACTGACTTGAGGGAGATAGTGTCACTCGCTCTTGCTTGGGTAAAACTGAGTGAGGGAGAAGCGGAAGCCTTCAGGGGCCGTAAGGTATGCTACCCCGAATGGTTGGTGGACGAAAATCCCATCAATTTTCCTTGTTTCGAACGATTCTGTTTCATCATTTCAGTGGACGTTTACTATGACCTGCACGTACATTAAATGTAGGGTCTTTATCAGGACAGTCCCAGTTAAAAATACAGAAAATGTAAAGGCAAAGTGCGGGCTCAGACTCACCTAAGAAGCCCTTACCATGGCTAGAAGTGCTGGGCACCCAAGTGGAAAGTTAGCACCACTTTTCTACATTGAAACCCGTCACCAGGAACTTGTAACAGACTCCACCGAACATAACATGATCCGCCCACCGATCGATGTCTTGTCTGCGTTGCTGCGTTGATCTGCTATGCTCTCTCTTCTCGGAATTCTCTACCACCCTCTGCGCTCACATTATCTCTCATCTCCCTCCCTGTCTTTTGAACTTCTCCACAGCATTGAGCAAAATGCCCGTTTCTCCTGTGCTTGTCAGGATTTTCTTTCCTTTTTACCCATCGGCGGTCCGCCTCTCATTCCTACCTTCGTATTTGAGTGGAATCAACACATCAATGTAACCCTGATTCTTGCCTTTCAAGAGCTTTTCGTCCCCCGACCCTTCGGGGAAGCATACCTTGCGGCCCCAGAACTCCACATCGGTGGGAAGATTCCGCGAGCTCCAAAGGCATATTGGAGATCGCGTCTGTAAGCCTTGTGATACATATCTCACAAGTAATCACCTTGACTTGGTCTTCTACCCTCATTGATTGTAACTGCTGCTTCATACTGATTAATATTATCCATATTTCAGTTCGTGGTTCCGTATGTATTGGCGAAGTGGAGGTGCAGAATATGCGTTTCTACGGTTGTCCTCGCCACCTAGAACTCAACTCCTTATCCTCCCTAAATCTCGATTGCAGCTGCCCATATGAGCATGACGATCATGAGACTGGTAAAGTCATGTTGGATATTCGATGCTGGTTCCATTACAATTACAACCTCGACGTCACTAACTAAAAAAAGTGCTTTAGTTATTTCTTTCCCTACCGATCCGCCATTTCCAATATTTGAGTTGGAAGGAACACCGCAATCACCCAGACAAGCAGTGTGGACAGTTGGACCATGCGCTAATTTCGCGTGTTTGAACAATGGGACATGTGTCGTGGCGCAGGAAGGATCGGTATGTTTGAGCTCCTTGGTCACTAATTCCAAGAAAATGGCTCTGATCGCTGTACAGCAATATCTGCCTGAATTGCCAATATCTGTAGTGTACACGATGCCATGGCAAATTAGCTTAGTGGGATTGTACTGCTTATTGTTTCTGAAGCACGGTATTAAAAATGATGAATGAAGAAAGCGCGAACCACTGCTTGATAGCGACGATTGCCATACTCAACTATCTGTACAAGAATGGCATTTGAAGAAAAATGCTTGTTGAAATGCGTAGTTGGCATTAAAGGAAGTGATCACGATAGAGAGGGAAACTAAGAGATCGCGGGAGTATATGCGGTGCACGGAGCAGTAGCTTAGCCGCTAAGGAAGCGATTAGGTGCTTTCACGACGAAAAATGCGCCGGTTGCTCAGCAAGATTTGAAAAGCGCTCCGCCCTAAAAGCGTTCCACCCACTGGTTGACTCGCGATTTGAACAAGCTGTGTTAACAGCAGCTCCACAATACGAGTAACTTAGCTTTAGCGTGGACTTGCATGACGCCACCAACGTGTTGCGGGAACTCGTCCATATGCTCTCCGTTTTACCCGCTGCCCGTCCGTAGCGAAAATCAAGGGGGTCACTTTTGCATTTTCTTCACGAATTTTCTGCTTTTCTCGCCACTGGCGTTCCATTGAGCTCCCCACATCCCCTCCGACCCCTCCAGAACTTCTAATAATCGCGGCATTCAAAGGCGAGATTCGGGATGAATGGGTGTGGAAAAGCGTTCACTTAAGCTAAAGGAGGGAGGCGTTTTGGGAGAGAGAATGAAAGCAAACGAAACCACCGATTACGCCCCGTACAGACCTTCCATATTTCAGCCGCATTCCACCTTAGGATAGGGAAGGGGCGCGTTGGACGAGTTTCACGAACCTAACTCTAGTTGCTCTAGTGCCAATAACATTGGGTCGCAATGGGACCGCTGCTTCAAATGCGTCCGCGCTTTTCAAGCATTGCCACGTGGCAACCGACAGCAGAGGGCGGGGTTTGGGGGAGAAGGTGTGGGCTGCGGGTTGAACGAGCTCCTTGGCCTTTGTCGCGCAGTTTCAACCGTAAAAGGGGCGACATCAACACTTGTCCGCTTGTCTACTACCTCAAGGATGGAGCGGGGAGCGCGCCTAATCCTCGAACTTGCCTTTAAAGCGCATCATGCGTTGAATGGTTATAAATATTGTCCAAAAACTGATTCATTCAAAGAAGTATGAGAATTGAATGGGGCTTTCTCGACGTGTATTTTTTGAAGAGTACCAAGCTCGTCCAGCATTATGGGAAATTGCTTTAGCTAGTAATAATTCGAGTTCGCTTAGATACGTTCACGGCAGAAGTATTTTTTAAGCAGAACCACCCATTTAACGTACAAAGTGAAGCGTCTTGTTCAAAAAAAAATCCAGCATTGATCAAGGGCCTTATTCAGCAGTTAAAGGCAAAAGTCGGGCTCAATAAGGGGATATTATGGCGATTGAAACTGAGTGTAGAGATGCGAAGTGGATAGAAAGCTGAAAAAAAAAACTGAGAAAAACCGTCCACAAGGCCCTTAACAAAACCCTTTTTCCCACTAGCAGTGAAGGAGGCTGGCTTGGAGAAAGAGGCACATACAAACAAGTTTTCTGAAGATGTCAGTCGTTCTATCGGTTGATACGGCAGTCAACCTATTTGATTCCACACGTTATGTCAGCCACGCGCCACTTCCGGAGGTGGGCGGTCCTGGATTGACCGGGCGGCCGTGGATTGAACCCGAACGCCCCGGGGCCTTGACAGGGTTTTTCAAGGCGGGAAGTTGCTGCAATGTGTGCAGCTGCCCACATGCAACCTCCAGGCACGGGATTTACTTCTCTAGCTTGCCTGAGCCCGACCTTTGCCTTTAATTCAATAATCTCTTCAGGTGCACAGCATCAAAAATTGTTGTGTAATTATAGGCAGCATGCCTCTGCCCTGACGGCTTCATCGGTGGTACTTGTGAAATTGACGTGTGTTCAACAGTTCCGTGCCAAAACGGCGGTCACTGTAGAGCAGATGGAGGTGAAGGCCGTTGTGTATGTCCACCTGAATTTACTGGCATCTTATGCGAATCGGTAAGTAATATGTTGTTGAAATCCGACAGCAGTTTATCTAACTTTACTAGGTAATCGAAGGTTGCAACCCACCATGTGTAAATGGCCATTGCTTCGTTGTGAATAACACCAAGAGGTGTAAATGTAAGCAAGGATTCATTGGAACTACGTGCAGTATGGTTGACGTGTGCTATCGGTGAGTTTCGTTACTAATCGTTGTCGTTGACCTGTTTCAAACTGACTACGGCCGCTAGCGTCCAATACGAATCCTGTTAGACGTGACAGAACATAGGTAGCCGGATGGATTTAGTATTTTCGCTGTGAAGATCGAGTCTAAAAAGAGTAGAAAGTTGATTCTCATCCTATACGCGTGTTGTGAGGGACTTATTATACAGAGTGGGCAAAATCATGGAAACTACACTGGTGTGCAAAACTTAAGGACGAGATAGATAAATTGTCGTAACTTATTAACAATTAGATGGAAGTGGATGAGACTGTACGGGCATAATGCTAGAAGCCCTACAGTCATGGGCACCAAAGTGGGCCTCAGTCTTGCATCCGGCTTCAATCTGGAGCCTAAATGGGGTGGTCACCGAGAACGATGGGTATCGTGGGGCAGGACAAGAGGGGTGAACTGAGCAGGGAGAAGTGACTGTGGAATGTAGTGGTGTTCTTGATTACATCAAGTCTCAGAGATAACAATAGGGTGACTTTACGCGAGGAAGAATCATTGGGAAACTGAAAAAAGGAAGTTGTGTCCAGGAGTTTTGTGTCAACCACTGCATTGTTTTTTGTGCATGAGAAGCAATGTGGACCGCAGCCACTGCTGTCCCAAGAAGAGGAGGTTGTGGGTCACGAGCAACCGCAGCAGCAGCGTGATTGCTAGGTTTTGCTACAGGCAAAAATGGACCCCACGTCAGTCACATGCTGCCAGTTGCAAAAACATTCATCAGATTGTACAACATGTATTTCCCAGTCCGGACAGTGGCGCAGTGACCGCATAGGGGTGATCTCTCTCATCGACCAACAATGCCTGTTATTCATTTGAAATCCACGCCTTGGTGGGACATTTGGTACGAGCCGAGACATTGAAGATGGACCACTCGAATGGAAAAATCGCGTATTCTTCCCGGTCAGAGCAAACTGGAATGTGAGCAGTGATTCTGGAATTACCTGCATATGGGGAAAATAGGAACTGTAATCTACCCAGAACCATCGTTCAACATGATTGTTTTCGTAGTGCATGCGACATGATGTGCGGAGGCATAAAGTTGTCGGGGCGTACTGATCCCCAACTCATGATCGCGTTACACTTTCTGATCAACGTGATTGTGGTGCTGTACCCTTCTGTCATGTGCATCTTTCCAAGGGTTCCCTTGCCCTCAGCTTCATTCGTATGGAGGGCAGTGTGCGAGAGTATCGAGCAGCCTGGGTGGAAAACTCTTTGAAAGTGAGGATTTTCGGTAATTGGTGAAGCCATTTATTTTCTCCAGTCAAATTCTATGGAGCACGTGTGGCGTGGATTCAGATGAGCTATTGTAGCACCTGACCATGTGCCAACAATACTACTATCCTCCTGCAGTTGTCAACTATCTCCTGCAGTTGTCAATCGCGGTCTCCAAGGAATCGCTCGCTTCTCTTTAAGAACTCTTGAGTAATCTTGCGGCCTGTACGGGAACACGTAGCAGAGCATACTTTGCAATCCGTAGTATTCATACACCCCACCAAGAACCAGCTCCTCTCTTTTGAATGTCTACCATGAGTTGGAGAAGCCTCACCTATCGATCGCTTCAGACAGGGTATTTGCAGAAAAATGTCTTTTTCAATCACCCCTTTGCGCTTTTCTGTTAGTAACTCTCTGCTCTGTACCGCAACATTTACTTCTATATATGTGCCAAATTTGGTCCACCTAGGTTAACTAGCAGTGAGATATCATGTGAAAGTTACTTCCGCCTTAAGTTTTGCACACCAGCGTACTTGAATGGCACGCAGAATGCTCTCTGAGCCCAAACGAAGGGCCAGCAGTTATGGGTTCGCTCGGTGAAAATTCAGTTAAGGGCGAAAGGGCAGGGGCCTGAGGGTGAACTCCATTGTGTTCTCCAACACTTAAGGCAGCGATTATGATAGGTTCAGGAAGGTTAAGAGGAGAAGTGGTGGTGCTTAACGCCCATGGCAAAAAAACGTAGAAATCCGTCAAGAGAACGCGGAACGGGACCCCATTTTTTGGCCGTTCGTTTCCAGTCATTAGCAGGTACAGCTCAGAAAGCGTACTTATGAACGAGTTCATTGCAACGCAACGGCACCATTCCAACCCACGCTCCAATCGAGTCGCTCCAGTTGTGCCCTGCTAGTATGCTGCTCGTCCAAATCACCAACTAAACTAGTGGGCGGATCGCTTTTGGGGGTGGAGCGTTTTGAAGTTTTGCTCAGCAACCGCGTACCTGCCGTCTTGAAAGCGCTACACTTCGCTTTCCACACAGCCAGTAACTGCTTCGTGTGAGGCATATGATTCCCCGATGAGCTACCTCCTTATCGTAATCGCTGCCTCTAAGAATGAGAGCGCCGTGACATGTAATCAATCATTTCAAGTGTACTCCTGAAAAGAATCGGTGTAGTGTAGGAGAGCGTCAGAGGTGCTCCCACTATTCGCCCTGCAGTGGTCCTGTCAGGTGAATGGAGAACTTTGGTTCGGCCTAAGGGTGAAGTAGCTCCATAGTGGATGACCTGATGCAGAAAATTGGATAGTATGTGGGCAGGAAGTCTGGAGCATAGGCCATTCGTTCATACAAATATTATCCCTAGTCTTAGAGAGCCCAAAGGAATGCTCTCTAGGACTGAGTATTAGGTACAAAGGCGTGGCCCCAAACTGGATTTTCACCAGTGTTCTATAAAAAATGTTGAACAAGACACACCACTCTCTTTTGGATCTATCTTTCTTAGCTGGGGAAGAACATGCCGTGGGACGAGGTAGTTGGCGTTCAGCTAACTCATACCTTCTTTAAAGCTTCCTTTAGAGAATCAGGGTCTTGGTAACGCCCGCGCATCCTCAGAAACAGAGATCCAAACGATGGAATCAAGCGGATTGATGTTTGGCAAACTGAGATGTCGCTCGTTATGCTTTGCACCGATTTAAGTGGATACGCTCAATTCCTATTGAGTTCGCCCTGGTCAGCACGAAAATCGGCCTCCTTTGTTCTGGCTGACCAGAAAGACTTCCCAATGTTGCGGACTCTCGACAAGTTTCAAAAGGAAATTTATGAATAGTAATTTATACGAGCAGATAATAGATTGTGGGCCCTAATTATTGGCGATGCAAGTCAATGATAGAAACGCGACAGGAATATGGCTTCATTGTTCCGGTAAAATGTAAAAATTTTTGTTGTAGCTGGAAGGGAAGGGCACAAAGTTTAGGACGAAAGTAAGAAGGTGCTTCACCCTGTATATACTTTTATGCTAGACACACGCACACTCACCCGCTGATCATTCCGCTGTTGTTGTAAAACAAAACTGCATTCTGAACACTCATGGGAAAGTCTATGCCATTTGCTTAAGATACACATTGTCTCTCTCTTTTCGGCATTTCCCGAAAACTATCAAATCTGCATTTCCCAAAAATTTTCTGAAAAAGTGCCAAATTAAAACATGCATCAAGTTTGAATTGCAATTCGCACATTAATATCAAACCCCAGCTGGAGAATAAAAACATTTTTCATCTTAATATTTTTGGAAAACAACTTCCTCTCCCACATTTCCATGCGATCAGCCGCTAACAAAATTAATTTATAATATTTAACAGCAAACAAACAGCAAAGAGAGAAACCTGCAAAGTGAATAATCAGTAGGGCCCCCCTACCTTCGAACTACTTGAAATTACGGTTCTCTGAGCTCAAATAAAGGCTATCAATGAGCTCCTGGACAGTTTGGTGCCATGCGTCCTGAGTCGCTTGTTTAGCTCCTTGCGCCTTGATATCGCTTTCTTTTGGCATAAGTTTCTCTCACCATAAAGCCCAATACATTTTCCTTTGGATTCAAATCGGGGCCGGCCGACCACGGCAGAAAGGTGATCCGATGCCAGAACCAGGCTTGGGCGTTTTGCTGGCTTAAATCGAGGCATTATCTTGCATAAGGACAAAATTTTGGAGAAGTGCACAACTCATTATAGCTGGATAAATGAACGAGTTAATCTTTTTTGGTACAGAACCTGAATGAAGACGCCTACTCGGTGAAATCGCAGTCCAAACCGTGACTCTTCTTTTGAAGTTCCGTCTAGGAAACTGGAGCCTCTCTTTGAAAATAAAACGCGACGAGAAAACTTGAGTGGCTGTATCACTTGGAGAAGTGGGAAGGCGGTTTTTTCAAAGAAAATAATGAGGGAAGATGTTTGAGTTCTCGAGCTGGAAATTCGTGTTAATGTGCAAATGACAATTTAAAATTGCCGCATTTTTTACTCTGGCACTTTTCAGACACATCGTAAATTGGGAGTTTTTGGGGAAGTCGAAGGTGATTGTATCGTTTGGAGACGCACTGTATTTTGTGTAATGCATCGTGAAAATTTATGAGAACTGTCTAGAGATGCTGTATGCGCATTGTATGGTGAGGAAGCAAAGTGTACTGTTAATGAGACTAGCTATAACCTCACTAACGCTCCATCATTCAACGCTTACTACGAGTGCCGCTGTCCTCATCCGCTGAATGGAGGTAAGCGTCATTCCTAATTTTTACGCTTAGTTCTAATTACCTACTTCATTCTTAGAATACGTCGATTGTCTTGCACTTCATCTTTCAACGTCGGTATCTGTTGCCACTTCACCGTATCGGCTGGTATCGAATGGGTTGACAACGTCTTCCTTGTCAACAAATATTGTAGATACGATTACCGAGGAAGAAGAAATTCCACGTATGTTCTGTATCCTAAGGTGTTCAACATCAAATGGTGGTGAAAATCTGTTGGGTAGTCCGCCCAACTTTGGTCACTTTTCTTGCTCAAATAGGGAAGCGTTGTTCACTAAACAAGTGCATTACTGTTGCATGGGAGAAAGAATTCAGAAAGAAGAAACGTTTCATTAGAAATTGTCCAGTATGACCAAATTTCGAGTCACTTTCGAGCGATCATCTTCAATGAATGGTATTACGAGCTGCTCGTAATACAACATTCGTCAAGAATCCCAGAAGCAGCAAAGAAGACACTTCTCGGGGTGAAGGTCCTATTTGCTTGTGTCGGTGGGTCGTCTCCTCAAGGGAGCCAAGCGGTACTGTGCTTATTAGAATCGTAGAGGGCCCAACTCTAATCTCTCGTAATCATGCCTTCCAAAAACTCCATTCGGTGCGGACAAAGAAGGAGAAACTGACAAATGGGTACCCGCCTGAACCGCGTCTATCAGTCAAGACATGAGTGATCCATCGAGTCGGCACTTTCCTGTGGCGAGGGCGTGCAGGGGCCCGAGGACCGTGAGATGGGTGCACCCGAGTCTTACCACAAGGCTGCGGGTGCTAACCTCCGGATCCTCTTCGACAGCGCCGAGAAGGAGTCTTTCACTATTTTGGGGTTCTCCAACCTTGACTTGTTTTCGAAAGCCCTGTCTCCTCCTCTGAAGCTTGAACAGAGCTTGACACTGGTGGTGGAAGTGGTGTCCCTTCCCAATGCGATGCTTATGTTGTTGACGGTTTGCACTGCTCCTGTGCCGCGACGCCATTCATTGAAGATGATCGCTCGAAAGTGCTCTTGTGGAATCAACATCATGATTAAAGTTAAAGAAGGCAACCCGGCTATATGTGCCTACTGCGCAGCAGTATGATCGACAGCGATAATCCATCACGTAGCAGATTCTAGGTATCGATCAATAAGCGAAAGTTCTGGAGTTCTCGAAAAATCGGCTCAGGACTTTCTTACCATCGCTAGTATTATTGCTGTCATTTGAGTTGTGAATATAATTCGTGCAGTGAGATACTATGGATTGAGAGGCGTTATTTTCTATATCTTCAACGTTATTTTCTATGACGTTTTTTCAGCAGCAGCAACAGTCTTGGTCACTACTTCTTCGCCCTTTTCGCCACGGTACAGTTCACCTGCACTGCGCTTGCTTGTGAGTTGCACCTTTCTGTAGGAGAAATTTGTATTTTTTTTCTCATTCAAGCGATCATATTTACTATTATAGTCTTCACCTGCTGCACCAGAGACTTCTACATTCTTCACTCCGGCTTCTACACTTTCTGCGTTTTCTACAGAACCCACTTCAACACAAGCACATTTTGCACCTCATACTGAGATAGGTAAGCTTCCGAAGAAATTTCATGTTTTGCTAGAGCTTGGACCACTTGCTTCCATAAGGGTACAACCCAGGCAGATGTTGTGTGAAGGATTCTTTTCACACGCTAGGTTCTCGCAGTCAGATATAGCAGCTGCAATCAGAGTCAACCCTGCGTTGCGCAGTTTTCAACGGCCACGTTGCGCAGTTTCGCTCGATTAGACATGTTCTCTCGCGCCAACATTCACACTCGCATGCTCGAGCCGTCTGCGTCTCCGCCCATACAGCGTGCGTTGAGGATCTCTCGACGTGCCGTTGAGAACTGCGCAACGCAGGGTTGACTCTGGCTGCAATAACTCCGCAACAGCCACTACTTGGTATCAATGGTGCAAAGCAGCTTACTATATTTAGACTTGTGGAAGTAGAAGCTCATTTAGGAAAGTACCTCTTAGGTCGCACACACGTGCTAATGAAACGTGCAAAAGGCCTACTGGAAACTGCTTCAACTTTTGAGGGAAATTAATAATAAGTGTAAGTAGCAGTATTTCACAGGGAGGAGGAAACTACATTTTGCGACTGCTGAGAGATGTAATTTCCTAAAACGTAGCGCATGTGAGCTATACCTTTAATAACGAAGGAATTAGGAACTAAAATAATGGGCTTCAATGAATTCCTCACTGCACAGTTCTAGTAATACTGGTACTGTAGTACTGGTACACCGAGTAGTATTTCATCGAATCTTTGCAGAACCGAGTGATACTTCTACACCAACGATACAAACGACTTCGACTTATGTCGACGACCCGTTCCCTTCCACCAGTTTTAACACTACAACCTATGTTATACCGGTTGAAGAGCGCACTACGACCGATTTCCCGTCGACGGAAGTACGTGTGTTTGTTACTTTTCTTTTGTTCAAAACGCACGCTCCATTACTCAGGAGCAGGGTCAACCCTATGCTACAAGTAATAACGGGGGGAGGTGGGGGTCGTACTCTCTCGGTGGCCGACAGTGGGATTCTTAGTAATATTCCTATGGATCATAGATGGTGGTACGGAAGGACTTTCCTGTTGAAGTTCCACGAAAAAAGCAAGAAAGAATTCGCTACCTGATCCAGGAATCTGATCCTGTGATGTCGGTCCCACAAATCCACTTCGTTAGCTCATTATGCCATTCTACCTCCTGTGGCAAAAAAATCTATAATTTTGCTGGCACTGTCAGCGTTCAGAGAAGCATCAGGTGGTATACATCTCTCCCCAGACGACCACTTCGCCACCCCTTCCTTTGCTAGCAAACACGTCTGCTAATAATCCCGTCCTTCTCCGGACAAGCTGCATAGCAAGATTCAAGCGAAAACGTATTCGAGAAGCTGGAACAATCGCACCGTACGACTGCAGGCGTTTTGCAGGTCACTACTTCAAACAAGGTAGTTGTCAAGATGTCTAAGACAACTGTCGCCGATTTTAGCGAGCACCACAGTTCAGCCGCGAGTTGGTTAGTAGCCATTGTAGCTATGATTGGTAGGTTGCTTCCTGTTTCCACGAATTTGCAACACGCTAAGCAGTTTCTTTTAGTGTTGGGACTGCTACTTCTAGCTACGACGCTGTTTGTTTTGCGTTACATAAGGCAGTCGCGGAAGTTGCATGGAAAATACAATCCTGCAAGAGAAGAACATGCACTGTCGGCTGCTTTTTCGATGCCAATGTCTCGTATTCCCAAAGAAGAACGGTTAATTTGATTGAATACGCTATCTATATGTACCAATTTATTCATAATATTATGTTGTTCATAATATTGTGTTGCTATGAAATTGAAATCTCGGCGATGCTATCACGGTTATAAACCAGTTCTCCAATTTTTCTTATTGCGCTTTCTGTACTTAAAATATTTGTTCTTGATGGAATCTGTAAGTAATCAATGTTTGCTGACACCTGTATTTATTTCCTGTTGAACAAGCGCAGGAGCACGAATTTCAACAATGCCTTTAGTACTGTATGAAATAACAACTCACGAAAGAAGATTCGATAGAAGAGAGTCTCAATCAAGGAGTAAATGAGTCTTTGCATGGAAATACTTCTTAAATTGTGCGTTTGCAGTGGTACGAGGCGAGTCGAATTTCAGGATAATAGTTCTTCAAGCGTATCCACTTAATCTCTGTCACATTTCCACTTGCACTTTCTCCCCTTGAGAGATTGCGTGTGCTAGATTTTTATAGAAGGACTTACTTTTCGTCAGCTGCTCATGGGGTAGAGTGGAATCCAGCAGCAGTGGATTCGCAAGAGGTGGGTTCTTTTATGGAATCTTAACCTGGTTTGAGCTCTATGAGAAATGTGACTAGTGACAAAATCGGGGTCTAAGTGGACAAGCTACAAACTTAAAGGAATCCCGGGAAAATCTCGCATCCTTTCCCAATACGCATATGCAGCTGTGATCACTAGAAACAACATGCAAAATTTCACGCACAAAGACTCATTTTCCGAAGAAAAACAAACTTACAAAAGTCACACTCCATGGACAATTGAATGTAAGTGGCGCGGAGCCAAAGGCGCGGCATCGAAACAAGTGCGCTTAGAAAGACTACGTATAAGGCGACGCAATTGAAGAATAATGTTAAAGTGTGCGATTTTGGAGAGCAGAGCGAAGTCGGTATAACAATAGGATGCAGTAGAAGCGTGAGATGTTAATGCAATAAGTCATAAGGCCAGAAATTGTTCCTAGTGACGGCACTCCGAGAACCAAGCGAAAGCATCTCCGTCGCCAGCATTTGTGACAGATGTCCGGCGGTTCATTGAACGCGTAGCAGCCATTTCAGTTTTTCGGATTTTTACTAAAACAAATGCAATTTTCTCGTTCTTTTCGCTCTTGAACGGTAGGTCGAGGTTTTTGATAACGGAATCCTCCTATAAGCTGACGAGAGAAGTGAAGTGATCCCAATTGATGACTGTCCTGGGGCTTCGCTTCCTGAACTTCGAGGCTCTCTCAATACGCGTCGAAAAGTGGAACTTTGCGCGGAGGAGACGATGGTCCGATCCCGTGTAGAACTTCGGAACAACAGCAACGTCGGTCAGGCAAAACCTTCGGTTGAAGATGATGTGGTCTATCTGAACATTCGGAGACTGTCCATCAGGTGATTCATAAGTCCAACGAAGATGGGAGGGCTTCTGGAACTGCGAGTTACGATGGGTGGTGTTGGTCGACATGATGAACTCAGAAAGTCTTTCGCCCTGCTCACTGCAATCCATTCCGTGAGTACCGATGTGAAATCGTCACCGCTCTTCTTAAGCCAATCTTGGCGTCGAAGTCGCAGACGATGAACTCAAAGAAAGTATAATCTTCCCTGTAGAACTTTCCTAGTTCCATATTAAATGCTTCGTGTTCCTCCCCGTCGAAGCTGCGTGTCGGTGCGTAGGTGACGGAGATTGTCGGAGATGTGCCAATCTTCCCAATCTCGAACCTTCGATTATGGTCGTTAGGCCTTCGTAGATTCTGGATGTTTATGGCCAAGTGCTGTTGACGGGGACACCAACACCTCCAACGCCTCTCCGCATGTTCTAAGGAACAGTTCTTTTCCGTGTAGCGGGCGGTTCCTTCCCGTCTCAGTCATTCTGATGACGTCGTACTTGATCTTGCTGACTTACATTATCAGGTCTTCGATGTCAGCTTCGAATGCAAGCGTTCGTGCGTTGAAAGTACAGATCGCTATCTTAGTCCTTCTTCGTTTAGGCAGCCTATCCGGGCCCTGAAATTCTAGCAGCCTCCCGAGCGGTCCTACCCAACGCTGCCGTATTGGGGACTCCCTCAGATTCAGGGGAATGAGGATCATCCATATAGCTGCTTTCGGCATATTGAAGGCACACGAGTAGCTTGCCAGGCTCTGTCGTGCGGGCTAGGATAGACCTCCAGGTAATTAGCCACGCTATCCTGGAGCGGAACAGGGGCTTATTTCTTGGAGGCGGCCCCGAATCGCCTCTGTACTTCCCAGTCGATTGAATCCTAACTTTTGACTATGCCGACATGCAGGACACTAAGCGCACACAAACGGAGCGCACCACATACGCGGATGCACGGATACGCATGAGTGGAGACAGCTGGCATGAATCGACACAGCACTCCAGAGACAGGGAGTCCATCCTTGAATCCGCCTGCATCTCAGGGCAGGTATGTTGTGACTTCTGGCTCGCGATTTACCCCCTATCTGGCACCTGGGGTCGCGCCATGTAGCCTCGCCACTAACCGGCTAGAGAACTTCCAGTGAGAGAGGACTCTCAGTGAAAGAAATCCGTGGCGTATGATATTACACATGGAATATTTGCAATATTGTCAAGAATTTTCTCGAAAACCACAACTCTTTCTTGAAATTATCATTCGTGATCTTGCGTTAAGGTCTAAGAAAATGACAAATAAAGCCCATACAGGTTTCACGGAATGGAGTTGAAAGTAAAGCGGAATAGGTGAAAAAGTGTTATATTTCAGTCTGCCATGTCGAAAAAACTAACCACTCTTGGCTCAGGAGTTCCATGTTCTGGAGTTCCACCTAACAGTTTCAAAATAAGATAGATCACATCATTTCAAAATATGTTACTGCTTTACCTTGCTGCTGCTTCGAAATCTCACACGAGATCGAACCACTGCCTCCTCCCTGCAAAATTCATCTTCTCGATTCGTGAACAGAGAGCCGCAAGGATCAGAAAGCGAGGTGCCAGGACAACCACCAACTGAGCTCACTCCACTTCTCTCCTCTTACGGACAATCAAGATATTAAAGATACATTGCCCACATTTGCAATAAGTATTCTCCAAAGCAGAGCAGAGACTTAAATGTAAGGGCAGCGAGAGTCTCGACCACTATGAAGGTGGTGACCGGACATCGGCTGTTGCCAACCTTAGCCAAATGTTCTGAATAAAGGCATCCATAGATTTATTGAGAAATTGGAAACTTCCCTTCAATTTGAACATTGCTGATTTGTGGCTCCAAGCTGCGCGAGCTGAAAATTTCAAAGAACTCAGAGGAACGTGTCGTCGTCCTTCTCCTAACTTGTTTAATTTCATGAGAAGAACCCGCTTCCCGCTCATCTGGTGCAAGATTATGTAGAGCGGATTGTTCGCTAGATTGCGGAGCTTTGCCAATTTGATCGACTATGACCAAACCGACTACAAATTTTGTAAAGTGAAGGTGCACCGAAGAGAGCAGTGTTATAGTGGAAAAGTATTCTAGAACATGTGTCGAAATACATAGAAAAATCCAACACATTCGCCCAGCATTCTTCATCATAAAGGGACCGACTCATCACTGACAGGTATCTCGGAAGCGCATAGCACATGCAATTTTGCACAAGTATAAGCGGTTTGGCTTACTCATAAGACTCTTGCTCATCAGCTGCACTTTTTCGAGGATCTACATGCCTCCGTTGAAGAGGAACATGCTTCGAAACCCAAAATGATGCCGAAACAACCTTAGCAATGTTTGTCGCTTCCTAAGCTCCTGTATTGTGAACAGCCGAAATGAGTAGACAAGTGTTTATTAGAAGAGATTCAAGGATTTTGACAGTCTTATTCCTTGTTCAGGAAATCAGAATACTCGGTCCAAATCGAAACAAAATTATTCTGACCAGAAGCAACAATTCCAGATCGAATTCGCGGGTAAGGGCGATGTTTATGGAAATGTAGATTTCGAGTTTATTTATTTATTTATTTAAACTGCACTTTAGGTGCGCCCAAAACAACACCAGGACTCATGTTAGTCAAAACATAACGCAAAACGAAGAAATAAAAATAAACCAAGCAGTCACCAAAGCAAAACCGAGTACAAAACTGCTACAGCCAGGAGACAACATTCCCCTAATTAGATGGCAAAGCTGGGGACCGCGAGTCATCACATAGTCATCACGAGTTGACTGCAATCGAAAGAAGAAGCAAGGGAAACCGTCAATGAAGCTCTGAACGAGCAATCCACTTTTTCCCTTTTGAAATAAGGAGCAGGGGAGCTGGACTAGCTAACCGAACTAGCTTGCTCGCCGGCATTTAATGCTGGATTGTGCCAGCAGAGATGCAGCTGCAGTCGCGAATGCACCAATACAAACAAATAAACACAATAAGTAAACGATTAAAGCAAGTAAAATAAAACAAAAAGCAGGCGGCATTACTTTAAACGCGGTACTCCAGGCAATCGAAGGACCACGCAGCGCGATTGGCTGCGTGGTCCTCCGATTGCGCTCTCTCGCTTGCAAGGAAGAGGAAAAACGGAAAAGGCATAGCAATGGTGTTGGCACATGCCCAAGTCCATTTTAGCAGCTTTCCAAGGTGAGGTTTTGTTCAGCGACACTTCTTATGTTCTTGACTGGGGTCACGCATCTTTTTCACATCACTGCTGCTTTAACTGATGCAGAAGCGCAATAGCAACGGAACCAACTAACTACCAGTTAATCAGAACTCATGAGTCATAATAGGTTACACGGCATAATAGGTTGTCGCAAAGTCATTGATCGTTTACATCTGCTCGCGAAACCTAAGAAATTTTTTCTAAACGCTCACTGCAGAACATTTATCGAGGCTGGTCCACAGCATTATCAGAGTAACCTGCCGCTGCATTTCGCAGCAATTATGGCTGAAAAATCGTCTTCCTCTGAAGGTATGTTCTCTTGTTCTTACCTTATACACATTGGAACGCACTGGACTGGGTGGCGAAGGTTTTTTAAGCTGATAGAAAAAAGAGTCCTGCAATAATCGGACACTGGCAAGT